TGTAAAAATTCAGTTAATACGCACTTTTTGAAGCTGCTATGAAGTTTAAACTTGAACTGAATTTGCAGTATGCTGAGAGGCTACCCATTGGAGTAGAAAAGGTGATCAAGACAGTTTCTCCTCAGATTGTGAAACATTTCTATAAAAAGTGGTACCAACTGCAGAATATGGCTGTTATAGCTGTAGGAGATTTTCCTGACACACAGGTCTTGAGAATGACTTATTTATTTTATGTGGAAAGGGACTTTTTATTTGTACTCCATGACGATTCTATTTTTGCTTTCTCTCTTCATGGCAGAGTGTTGTTGAGTTGATAAAGACTCACTTTGGATATAAAACTTCTCCACCTGACCTGCCTCCTATACCATTCTATCCTGTTCCATCACATGAAAAGACAAGGTTTTCATGTTTTGTGGAATCTGAGGGAGCTGGGGTAGTATTTTATCATATTCACAATATTTCATGTGTTTTGATGTTTCATGTTGTATGCCTGGTAGGGAATTTTACTTCTGTATTGTATTTTGATTTTTGACAGTCTGCTGTGATGATTAGCTGCAAAATGCCTGTGGATGAGCTTAAAACAGTGAAAGACTATCGTGATTTGCTTGCAGAATCCATGTTTTTTCACGCTTTGAATCAGAGATTTTTCAAGATATCTCGTAAGAAGGATCCTCCTTATTATTCTTGCAGTGGTGCAGCAGATTGTCTTGTCCGTTCAGTGAAAGCCTACATTATGACTTCATCCTGCAAAGAGAAGGGCACTCTTGAGGCTTTAGAATCAATGCTAACTGAGGTGTGCTTTTATATTTTCAAATTTGATGTGTTTTTCCTTTATTTTTTTCTAGTAAGTAGTAACTTAAATTTTAGGTTGCAAGGGTACGACTGCATGGGTTCTCTGAACGCGAAATATCTGTTGTACGTGCTTTGCTGATGTCAGAGATTGAATCTGCCTACTTAGAGAGAGAACAGATGCAGTCAACAAGCTTAAGAGATGAGTATTTGCAGGTGCACTCCCTCTCTGTCTGTCTGTCTGTCTGTCTGTCTCTTTCTGCTTAGCTTTAATTGCTGACTTTTTCAGCATTTTCTCCGCAATGAACCTGTTATTGGCATTGAGTATGAGGCACAACTTCAGAAAACTCTTTTACCTCGTAAGTATTCCCTAATACTAGTATAATCTTCCAAAAATCAGAGATATGCCCTTTGCATGGAAAGATGAACTGATGCTGACCTTTTTCTTGTTGCTAGACATATCAGCATACGAGGTAACCAAATACTCAGAGAGGTTTAGGACATCATCTAGCTGTGTTATTAAAACAATAGAGCCCCGAGCAACTGCCACACTGGATGATCTGAAGGCTCTTGTTTCGAAGATCAATACACTTGAACAAGAGAAAAGTCTTCCTCCTTGGGATGATGAAAATATTCCCGAAGAAATTGTTTCTGTAAAACCAAATCCAGGGTAACTTCACATCTTTTTAGACAATATTTTCCATCAATGATTGACATTGCGAATATCTGTTGCTATAATTATATTGAGAAAAATGCTAGGGGTACACCAAAGGTGTACCCCATATGTCCACCACCCCCTCCTTGTCCACTAAAAAAGGCAAAAAAATTTAAAAAAAATAAGTAAATAAAAATCAAATAAAAATGTGTGGTGGAGAAGGGGGTGGTGTACATTTGGGGTACACCTTTTGGTGTACCCCTAGCATTGCTCTTATATTGAATATTGTAAGTTGTCCCACATTTTTTATTTCTATGAAAAGCTAGATAGTTGTCTATGAGGGAACCACCTTTTGTTTATGTAATCTTGGTTTGGCAAATGCCTTGTATTTCTTGAAAATCAAACTTGAGCTTTATCGCAACATAAACCTAGTAAGGTCATACAAGTGCAGTCTTTGTAGGGTGGGTGTAACATACCTTACCCACACCTATTTGGTAGCAAGAATCACAGCCCAAGCAATATTGCCGAGTTTTAAATTTTAAATAAAAGTGGCATCTGATTATTCAAAGATAAACTCAATTTACACTGAAATTTGTGAAAACATTTGACAATTTACCAGTTGCGGGAGGAATTGTCCTGGTCAGCCAGTTAGCAAACTTAGAACCCAAATACTTTAAGAATTTTCAGCAATTCAATTCATTCATTATTGTATCTGTGAGTAGGTTTCCATGCATCCAGTATAAGCTCTTTCAAATAGTGAATTAAAGGCGTGGGCAATACTCTATAGGAAGGGGTCAAATTGCAGACTCCTTGTAGGTAATTTATGTAATATGTTATCCCGTTTCTTGACCATCTTGGTTACCTTTTCAGGTGGATAGTGGAGCAGTTTGAACATCAGAAAGTTGGGGCTTTTGAGTTAATTTTATCAAATGGCATGCGAGTGTGCTATAAGTGCACTGACTTTCTTGATGATCAGGTATGAAGTTCAGATACATTAGTGTCTATCAACTTTGCTAGTCTGCTATTTCATCATATTTATGTGCCTTTGTCTTCTTCATATCTTTTGAGTCTTAGTAATTGTCACCCTTCCTTGTAAAGCATTATTTTGTAGAATTTTGACAAGAGTTACCAGCCTGCAGAGATGTTACTTGAAAGTGACTATATTTGTTGGCATTGGTACCATTCAGAAAGGCATTTTAAATGAAAATATATAATACTCTGTAATCAAGTTGTATCATATATTTGCCGAAAGACTGTAAGGTTCCTAATTGTACCATGCATAATTCCCAATATTGTGATATCGGAAGTGTCTTTTCCAAGTAATTACTTCTAGAAAAGTTGAACTTTAATGTCACAGTACTATACTTGTATGTATCATGTATTCTTAACATGAGGATTCGTCTTCAGAAATACGGATCATGTCTATCTTTGTGAAAGTTCCTTTTGTAGGAATATTTAACTCTCAAGGATTTTTCAACCTATGGCATCTTTTCAGAATTAATGCTTAGCTCATCATCATTGTAAATTGTAATTAGCTATAAATATAACTCACCATAACTTACCTGAATAAATATTTCAGTTCTTCATTCTTTATTTGTCTTCTTCGAAGGGCATGGCATGAATGAGGATAATGTTCCAATTTCCAAACAGCAAAACATGCTATGCTAAAATATATTGTAGTACTTCAGAAATAACTGTTTTACGAATTCCTGAAAGAGAACAATAATAATTGATAAAACAATTATAGGAAATCTATGGAAAGACAAGTTTTTCTTGCTAAGTACAACCTAAGAATATCAACTGGACATATTAATTCCTGGGGGAATTCGTGAAGTTAATACAGCTACACTATGCCTGAAATTCTCCGAGGGCTTGTTGGTTTGAATGTATCAACTGAATAAAAATGTTTTGTTTAATTCACTATTATTGTGGATGAATGGGGCATTGAGCACATGCCTCCTTTCTTACTAAAGGTTAAAGCTTAAATGAGGTGTCATTTTTCCCTAGGAACCCTACATTTTAGTAGTTGGTAAACTTAGGATTTATAATCCCATGTTGTGCAACACACAATCACATTATTTTCATGCTTTTTATCATCCCAAGATTGTTTTCAATTTCACTGTAAAACTTAAGGACGGTTTTCTGCTCTTAATTGTCTTGCAGTTATCTTATTAAAGGCATGCCCAACACAATTTTGTGGTTTCCACTTAGGAGCTAATGAAAATGCTTGTCATTTGCATTATTTAACATTTTTTTTAAATAGGTTTTATTCACAGGGTTTTCGTATGGTGGTTTATCTGAAGTTCCAGAAAGTGAATACTTCTCATGTTCAATGAGCTCAACCATTGCTGGTGAAATTGGTGTTTTTGGTTATCGGCCTTCAGTTCTTATGGAAATGCTTGCTGGAAAACGAGTTGAAGTTGACACAAAACTTGGGGCATATATGAGAACAGTTTATGGTGATTGTTCACCTTCAGATTTAGAAACTGCATTACAGGTTTGCAATGTGTAATTTATTGTCTTTTCAACACTAAAGTAAAAAGGTCATGTGCTTTAGATTTCACAACTTTGAATGACGGTGATGTGCTTGGTAAAGTTAATTGTTTACTACTCCAAGGATTTGTACCTTGTATGGTAGAAATAATGTTCTTTAGGTTAAATAGGTGCCAAATTGCCAATGAAGACTATTTTATTGTGCTTGGTATTGTGGAGAATAGGTAGAAAAATCAATCATTCTTAAATGTTTTAATGAGTTTATGATTTGGCAGTTGGCACATTAAACTTCTCTTGCTTCTCACTTTCTATGAAGTTTTTGGAGGTAAATACAACATTGCATCAAGGATCTAACATAAACAACCTTTCTTTTCATTATAGAGGTATGCCTGTTATATGGGGATGTTACGATGGATGTGTGGGAAGACAAGATTGGATAGGATTTCGAACGAAGTTATCCGACGTCAGGTAGGCATGGCACCAGTGGAAGATAAGTTGCGGGAAGCGAGGTTTAGATGGTTTGGCCATGTGAGACGGCGGGATGCTGACGCCCCTGTACGGAGATGCGAGAGGATTACAGTTATTGGGGGAAGTAGGGGAAGGGGTAGACCTAGGAAGAATTGGAAGGAGGTGATTAGGCAGGATTTAGGACTTCTCGACCTGACTGAGGATATGGCCCTAGATAGGAACCTTTGGAAAACTAGGATTAGAGTAGCTGGATAGGAGCTCGGTGTTGTAGAGGTTGTTTTGTAGTGTGTTGTATTTGTTTGGAATCTTCTGCTATTGCTTGTACTTGTTGCTTGTACTTGGTGCTTTATCTATGTTATACTGTGTTCCCTTCCATATTTTTGTGCAGGTGGAGCCGGGGGTCTCTTGGAAACAGCCTCCCTACTTCCGAGTAGGGGCAAGGTCTGCGTACACACACCCTCCCCAGACCCTACAGTTGTGGGATTCACCTGGGTTGTTGTTGTTGTTGTTGTTGTTGTTGTATAGAGGTATGCCTGTATTTCTGACCCCAGAACCCAACGGTGTTGGGGTTATATTGGGTTGTTGTATGTTACATAACTGAATAAATTCATTTTGAAGTCTAAGAAAAAATATAAAACTGATAGGAATATCTAGAGATGCCATCTTAGGGCCATCTTAGGGCTGTAGGGTTTGTGAGTGAAAAGTGTTGGGGGTTGGCTTCTCTTCCTCTTCTGTAGTTTGGTGTTGCTGGGTGGATAGCTAGTACCATGAGACATTTTTTCTTTGTTATTCCCTTGTTTGCTTTACCCACTTACCTATATTGTATTGCTTTCCTCCTTTTTGATGCTTGCCCACTTTCCAATTTTCCCATTCCAAATTTATGTTTCACATTTGGTCAAGCAAGATTATTAAGAACCAACCTAGAATATGTTCACGTGTTCAAACATATATTAATATTATACACTACATTGTTGTTAAGTCGCCGACAAGTCGTTGCTTTACAAATTATTAAGATCTAAGAACCAACCTAGGATATGTTAATGTGTTCAAACTTCAAACACATATTAATATTATACACTACATTGTTGTTAAGTCGTCGACTAGTCGTCCAGTCGTTTTGGTGGTGGCGACTGATTGTTGCCAAGCGAGTAGCGACTTGGGTGGACTAGTCGTCCGGTCGTGTAAAGCGACGACTAGTCGCTGATGAAAACCCTACCCAATTTGGCCTAACCCAATTTGACCCAACCTGACCAAATTTCATTAAGTTTTAAAAAATACTCCGTAAAAGCATCACCTCCCTCATTCGCTCAGCACATCGCGATAGTCCTTCCCAACTTCTGTCTCTCTCTCTCGCCAAAACCCAACTTCTAGGATCGATTCTTCTGGAATCAATTCTTCTTCATCTTCATCGATTCTTCTCCATCATCCTCCATGGGTTAAGATCTCTTTATCTTTAACTTCTTTTTGTGCTTGATACCTTTGTTGGTACTTGGTGTGTTGTTTTTGATGATTGAAGAGTATTTGTTTCTTATGTACCCTTCGTTATGTGACTTTATGTGCAACATCTAAAGATAATTTTGTTTTGGTAATGATATTTCTTCATATAAATATATATACTTATCTTTGGTCAATGAAGATATATATAATATAAAAAATTTAAATACTAATTGTGATTTGCCTACGACTAGTAAGCCGACTAGACAACTAGTCCACTAGTCTCTTCTTCACCGACTCGACTCGACTTGACTCGACTTGTCGCCTTGATAATCATGATACACTAACACCAAAATTAAAAATACCATTAACATGTGCTATTGACTCGGTGCAGGAGGATCATATGCTCTAAGTGTTGCACACAATTTCAAATGGTTGCCTTTATGGCTTTATGACTTAAACTTGAAACTTGAAATTAAGTTGGACTTGACATTTTGACTTGAATTTAGTTTAATTTTCAAGTCCCAACAAAAATATTTGAATAGAGGCTGTCTACTTGTACAGTGCTGATAAGTTTTGTTACCCAACCAACCTTTGCAGAGTAATAACTTGACCAGGGAGTGTAGGGACTAGGGATAAACATATTAGTTGATGTATCGTAAAGATTTGAGGTAATGTCAAGGCTTGAAAAATAGCTTTTGGTGCATAGTTTTCTATGGAAGCCGTTATTGTTGGATAACACTGTGAATACATGAAATCGTAACATATTATGATACACAGATCAAGATATTGAATCACAGCTGCAGTATAATAAATATAACAATACTCAAGATTAATGCTGTTAATCAAACATTCAAACTGAAGATATCCTTTAACTCCTTGGTATTATTGTAGTCATCAGCTATCCAAAAACAATTCTCTTCTTTTGTGATGTTAGTTGCCTGTTTTCTGCAACATGATACCCTCTCTCACCTTGCCAGCTGGTCTATCAACTCTTCACCACAAAAGTAGAACCAGGACAAGAGGATGTCAAGATAGTGATGCAAATGGCAGAAGAAACTATACGTGCTCAGGAGAGAGATCCCTACACTGCCTTTGCAGACCGTGTGCGGGAGCTTAATTATGGGAACTCCTATTTCTTCAGGGTAAGCATGATCTCCTTGGCTTGTTTTTAACATTTCAAGCTGCACGTTTAGGGAACTTATCGCTTAATTGAGTTTTCTGATGCAGCCAATTAGAATTAGAGATCTTCAAAAAGTCAATCCATATAAAGCATGTGAATATTTCAGCAATTGCTTCAAGGATCCTTCAACATTTACAATGGTGATTGTTGGGAATATTGACCCTGCCACTGCACGTCCATTAATATTACAGTATTTGGTAAGCCGTATTAACTGCCTATTTTTTTCAGCCCTAAAGTGTGAGAATCTCCATATGTTGATCTCAAAGTTGCAATGCAGGGCGGAATTCCAAGGCCACCTGAGCCCATATTACATTTCAACCGTGATGCTCTTAAAGGCTTGCCATTCAGATTTCCTTCAACTGTAATTAGGTGGGTTTCAGCCTAAATTTGCAGTGCTGGCAGGTATTGGGTAGGATTGCTGCTTAAAAAATCTTGAGTTGCATATTCATCTTTGTGAACTTGGATTGTTATGTAATAATTAGTTTTCATCTTGATGTCACGGGTTTATGTTTATCTAACATGTTTCATGTGCTTGTAGAGAAGTTGTTCGTAGCCCTATGTTGGAAGCACAGTGTTCAGTCCAACTATGCTTTCCTGTTGAGCTAACAAGTGAAAACATGGTATGATGTATGTCTTGCTATTTATAGGTCAATACAGTTACATTCATAAGAGCTTTAATTTTGATACTTATATGTGCGTTCTAAATTATACTGCTTCATTAAACATGGTAGATGGAAGATGTTCATTTTGTTGGTTTTCTTAGCAAGTTTCTTGAAACTAAGATAGTACAAGTTCTCCGCTTTAAGTATGGGCAGGTACATTTTTGTGTTCTTTATCATCTACTGTAATGTTTTTTGAAGATATGCTGTCCTGTATCTGGGCTGTATATAATTTAATAATTTAGTGACCCTTTATTCATTTATTATTTTGCATAGATATACTCTGCTGGAGTTTCTGTGTTTCTTGGTGGCAATAGACCATCTAAAGTTGGCAATATTCGTGGTGATATTAGCATCAACTTTTCTTGTGATCCTGATATCTCCTCAACATTGGTCAGTTTCCCATCTAATTATAGGAGCTATTGCAACTACCTCTTGGAGTTCTTATGTTACATTTTCCTTTTCTAAAAAAGGTTGACATTGCATTGGATGAAATATTGCGTCTCCAAGAAGATGGACCCTCCAATGAAGATGTTTCCACCGTGCTAGAAATTGAGCAGAGGGCACATGAAAATGGATTACAGGTATGTCCACAACAAGGTATTTGACTTAAATTGGCTGCAATGCACATGTTTGTGAAGACTTAGGGGCTGTTTGTTTCAGCCTCTTAATGGTTCAGATGTCTGAATAGTTCAGCACTTAATGGGGTTCAGACTGTTTGTTTCAGCCTCTTAATGGTTCAGATGTCTGAATGGTTAAGACATTTGCCTCTGAATGGTTAAGTATTATACAGAGTCTAAATGGTTAAGACCTCTTATCTGAATTGATCAGACATTTGCCTCTAAATAGTTAAGCAATATACTAGCTCTTAATGGTTCATACCTCTTACTGGTTCAACACTCTGGTTCAGCACTTACCTATTCAGAAGTTGCCAAACAGCCCCTTAGTTGCATAATTTGAATAAATAGCACACTGGGCATTATTAATATTTGAAGATGCTTTTAGTTAACTAGTGGTCCCTACAACAATAGACCCTGTGAAGCCCCACGAGTGGATGTGTGTGGAGGGTAGGTGTATGCAGACCTTACACCTTCTTCCGCCTCATAACTTTCTTCTTGTTCTCCCTTTTAAGATGTCCTTAATTTTTTTCAAGTTACCTATGAAGGAAAGAATTTCTTTCAAGCCCCACGTAGTATTTCTTTTAACTTTTAATTTTTTTAGTTCCTTTCTTTTCCAGCTTCCCTCTCCCTCTTTTGAATTCAGTTCAAACTTCAAAGAATGATGTCACATTTTTTGCGTGAACTTTTGTCCTTATTGAATATTTAAAAGGTGTGAAGATGTATTTGAGACATTTATGTTTTATGCTATTTTTTAATGCTTATAATTATATTTTTTATGTTTTAAGAATTAAGATAGGATATCATTTTCTGTAAAAGTCAGAATTATGATTTTTATCTTTTATTCAACATGAAAATGGATTATGCATTTTGTCTTACCTCGGAGTACATATTTACTATTATCTTTTTCATATTGAACTGAGGCTTACACCTTGTTCCGTCTCGAGGCTTACACCTCGAGGCATTTTGCTCCACCGCCTTGAGGGTAGTTTTCGCCTTTCAAAACCTTGTCTTCCACACTGTTCCAATGTCCACCATATTATTTTTTATAAAATTCAGAATTATGATTTTATCTTTTATTCAACATGAAAATGGATTATGCATTTTGTCTTACCTCGGAGTACAAATTTTACTATTATTTTTCTCATATTAAACTGAGGCTTACGCCTCAAGGCATTTTGCTCCACCCCCTCGAGGCTAGTTTTCGCCTTTTAAGACCTTATCTTCCACACTGTTCCAGTTTCCACCATATCCCCCCCCCCTCCCCTCTCCTCCTCCTCCTCCTTCCCAACAACCAAATTTTTTATATAGCAATCACTTCGATATAATGCTGATGTTTTTATACTGCAGGAGAATAGTTATTGGCTGGAGAGGATGCTGCGCAGCTACCAATCACGGATCTATTCTGGTGATGTTGGTAGTTGTTTTGAGGTCTGATCCATTGCTCTGTGATGTTTTTCCCTTGTTATTCCATCTTTAAAGTCTTCAACTCTATGCGGGTGTAATCCATTCATAAGTATAGTTTCAATAAAGAAAACTTTTTTAAGGGGTTATGCCACAGCTGGTCTCTCTAGACTGTAGCCGGACTGATCTCTCAATGTGGAATTCTTGAATTACCCTAAAACCCCTAACTATAAACATTGTTATAATAGCACCTGAGATGATTTTACCACTTTGAAATGTCCAAAAGAAAAAAAATCATATATGAAGAAACATTATTTGCAAGAGATATATTTAACATATGTTGTAACATGACCTTGCAGTCCGGTTCAATCTTTCGTGTACCCATGACCGTGTAGTCCAGTGGCATCAGCTTGTGGGTGTGGGTAGTATGTAAAAGAATAAGTTACGGTTTCCACCCCTTAGGAGTTTGTGAATAATGCATATATTTTATTCTATGTAAGTGTGAAAATAATATCCTTTTGAGTGACCTGTCATAAAATCTCGTCATGCAGGTGCAGGACAAGGCCCGTTCTAAAGTTAGAGAAACATTGACTCCGTTGACAGCCCAATTGGCATTGCAAAGACTACTTCCATTTCCGTGCAAGAAACAGTACACTGTAGTAATTTTGATGCCACAAACTTCTCATATGAAAAGATTAAAGTCATTCATATGTTCTGCTCCAACACGATATTGTACAGAAGCAAAGGTGAGTAGTGCCTTTATTTAATTTCTTTCAATATAAAGTTGTTGCTGTGACCTGGGTTGTTGTTGTTGTTGTTGTTGTTGTTGTTGTTGTTGTATAAAGTTGTTGCTGTGTGACTGTGGTCACAAGTTAGAGTCCTGGAAGCAGCCTCTTGTAGACATATAGGGTAAAGTTTGCCTTCATAACATTCTTGTGGTGGGACCTTTCCATGGACCCCTTTTTTTAGGACGCTATGTGTGCACCAGATGCCCTCTTTTTACCCTGAATATATGGAGTACTTATTAAAGGCCATGTGATTATGACTAAATTTTCATCTGCAAAATGTAGTATTAACAGCTTGGTAAATCTAGGCCTGACAAAAGCTGACCCAACTAGTTTTTGACCTGAGACCCAACCCGAAAATATTGGGTTTTGAACAAAAGTTTTGTTAACCAAACCCGAACATGACCGAACCCGAAATGGTCCGCTAAAAATAAGTCAAACCCGACCGAAATCTAACAGTGACTAACCCGCTAAAGTAAGGGTTTTACAGAATATGTACTTTATTGTTAAATACTCCGTATAATAGTATGATAAAAATAGTGCTATAATATTATTTATTTCATATTAGTACTTATTAGTGTATAAACTTTTTTTCTTCAAAACGAGCTTTTAATGAAATTGTATTGTCATCTCAGTTTTTCAAAAAAGATTACATATTTAAATTATTTACATTATTTATAATATTGCTCTATGTATCTAAAAATTATTTAAAAATTGAAAATAATCATTTTTTAACTTTAATATATATATATATATATATATATATATATACTTTGATGTTTTGCTATTTTTTTCTATTGTAAAATACAAGTAATAGTGTGAATTTAAGTATTCAAAAACTAAATCTCATAACCCGTTGGGTCGACATAATAGTGGGTCATGAACATACAATTTCAAACCCGAACTCGTTACCCAAGCCCAAAGTAACATGATCCGAATTGAACCCGGCGTGACGTACCGATTTGCCAGCTCTAGCTAAGCCCATATTTAAGCACCCTGAATTTGCCTCGGTGGCTGGCCTTATGAAGATCTTTAGCTTGGTCTTATGGTTGTGTTGGTTCCTTAATAATTCCAAATAATAATAATAATAGTAGTAATAGTAATAATAATAATAATAGTAATAAGAATAACAATAATAATAATAATCACGTGCAAGACCCGAGCAAAGTCGAATAACGTGCTAGAAGTTTGCACCACCAACAACCACAAATTTAAGCTTTTAGTTGAGCTGGTTCGGTGCATTGATCTATTTGCACCACCTGCTTTGTTTGGGAAACATAACTATCACATTCTTGTTTGCTTGTTTCAGGTTTTGATGGGGACAGCTGGTGTGGCAGTTTTGCTACTCGCTTTGTGGAGACATTCACGGAACAGCCTGAAATCCTAAGTTAGACCCCTCATATGAGGACCGTGAATCCACACAGTTGCTGGGACTTTAGATACTGCATTGGCTCTTCAATTTTTCAAACATAACCATTTCCGCCCTCACACCCTTCTCTGAGTTTTATTTCACTACTATATGTATTTGACAGCAGACTCTTTTGCCTTTTGATGTTGCAGCCACTCTCTTCTCTTTTATGACCACTTTAGCCACGAAAATTTCAAGTCGTTTTACTTTTAAAACATTAAACATCCCTCCATCAACCCACAAAACAGTCTTGAAGTTCTTGTTCAAAACTATCTCCATTTCGGTGAGTTGTTCAACCGAAAATAGACCTTTATGTTTTTATCCGAATACGTTTGGTTTTTGAAACCTTTCTTAGGAGTTCGTTGGAGAGTTTCTCTTAGGTTTGTTGGTGTTATTCAACAGTCTCTAATGGTATCAAAGACTCATCTAAATCAGGTCCATACAACAAACTTCTACGCTATGAATATTAGATTCATAACGAAGACAAGACGTTCATCACTAGCGAAAATGTTTTTATTACTCCGTATGTTTTAATGCATGCTTTAGCTAGTGATTTCTTATCAAAATACGGAGTACTCCGTATTATTTTGTGGAAACCCTGCATATTTTGGACTTAAGAATATTCCGTTCGACCCAATTTAAATTGTCTGTTGTTTACAAAGTTTGATTGATGTTATTTCAATTCGATTTATTTCTAAATTCTTATAGAATTTAAAAAAATAAAATTTAAATTGTCTGTTGTTTACAAAGTTTGAGTGATGTTATTTCAATTCGATTTATTTCTAAATTCTTATAGAATTTAAAAAAATAAAATTTATATTTTTAAAAATTACATCAAAAGTTGTTCAAAAAAAACTAACAAGATTCTACTCCCTCTGTCTCAATTTAAATTGTTTGTTTGTCTTTTTTCTCCGTTTTAAAATAAGTTGCATGTTAGTTGTTATCATAAACTTTTAAAATTAAAATACTCAAACTACTCCTAAAATAAGTCACTTTTTTTCACCTTATCTTCTAATTCATAGTCACCCCTTCTAAAAAGTAATGACACTTTTGAAAAATCAATTCTATTTTTTCTTTTGAGTAAATTTCTAAAATAGTTCTTTGTAATAAGGTATTTTCCCAAATCAGTCCTCAATAAATTTTAATTACCTACGTGGTCCTTTATAATTGAGATTTTTTTTCAAAATAGTCCTCCGTAAATAATGTTACTCTAATGATAATTAATTAAGGGGTATTTTGGTTTTTTATTCGCTAAATTTAGAATAAGTTCTTAAAATGATCATATATTATGAAGCGCTTTGCCAAAATGATTTTTTCTAATTAAAATTGTGTTTTTAATTTGAAATTTAAAAGATTTTTTATAAAGTTTTAATAATTCATGAATTGTTTATAGTTAATGTAATTTATTAATTTTATATTTAATTGAACAAAAGTGACCGTTTCAAGAATATACTTTTACTTTAGATTATAAAAATACCAAAATACTATTCAATTAATCATTATTTAAGTAACATTATTTACAAAGAACTATCTAGAGAATAAATCTCAACTATAGAGGACCATATAAGTAATTTAAACTTATTGAGGATTGAATCGGGAAAACATCTTATTATAAAGGATCATTTTGGGAATTTACTCTTTTTTTTTCTTAAATATGCCTAAAAGTCAAAACAGGTGATTTAAAATGGGACGGAGGAGTATTATTTTCTCAAGTGGATAGGGAAAATGGATAAAATTATATGGTTAAAGTTAGACTTTGTAAATAGTAAAAAGACAACTTAAATTGGGATAGGAGTAAAATATTTCAAACAAAACAACTAAAAATGCTACCCAAGTACATAGATTTGTAGAGTATTTATGTACTCTATTTAATACGGAGTAAAATTTATAGTATTTCACAATTGCCGGCTTCAACTTCATCATCTGCACAGAAGAATTACAAAGAAAAAAGAGGAGAATGAAATTGTAGCTGAGTATAATAAAATATTTTTTGTGTACATTTTATTTTTGTTTATTTATGTATTTTCATTTATAATTTTTATTTATTTTTGTACTTTATCTTCGTTGATCTCCCGATAATTTTTGTTTATTTATGTATTTTCATTTATAATTTGATACTCCGTATAATAAAATATTTTTGTGTACATTTTATTTCTACACTAAGTTATAAATTAAATAATTATAAAAAGAATTAGATTTTAAGTGAGATTTTCCTTAACTTACGAATCTAGTTACTCCCTCCGTCCCTGAGTGTTTGTCCAATTTCATTTTTGCACATCATCCAATGCACTTCTTTAATCCATTTTATCTTGCAATTTGTATATTAAAAAATTATAAAAATTATATATTACTAGTAATAATCTATATGTTAAGACGAATCAAACAAGATCACACATGAACAGTTCCAAAAGTCAAAAGTGAACAAACACTCAGGGACGGACCAAGTACATCATTGCATGCAAAAGCTCGATTCTTCTTTATTTTTATTGGCCTTTTAGCCAACTACATTCGTGTGGGGTTATGCTTTAATGCTCAATTAGTCTTTAGAGTTAATATTCACATGATTAAATTTTATTTACTTCTTTTGGTCTATTTTCTGATTACGTAATAAAATAAAATAATCTTGTCACAACTTATTTTAAACTCTACATCTTTTGGCATTATTTTTAAGTATATAGTTTTACTCCCTCCGTTCCTTTAAACCCTTCCATTTTTGATTTTTGGCAAAAATAAGGAAAGTATAATTTTGGTTGACTTTCCAATTTTGCCCCTTATGTGATGGGTAAAAGTAAGATATGATAGTTTGGTTATTAGAGAAAAAGTATGATGTGATAGGTAGGGTATGAAAAAGTAAGGGTAAAGTGGTTTTTTAATAGAAAGTGAAAGTGTTTTAGGGAATTCAAAAAAACAAAAGGGGGAGGGTTTTGTGGAACTGATGGAGTATTTATTAATAATAAACTAATTTTCATATGAAATTAACTAAAAATAATTTCGGTCAAACAGCATAATGCATGTTGGGATGAACATTGATGGAGTATGCGTTTATGTATATGTGTTATTTACATATTACTGATATCAGGACGTACAGGGCGTTTGGTCTAGTGGTATGATTCTCGCTTTGGGTGCGAGAGGTCCCGAGTTCGATTCTCGGAACGCCCCTTCTCATACTTTCCTACTACTTTTGCATCTCTCCAAATCGGACGGTATGCTGTTCTTCTCCTCGATGCCCATTTTTCCCTTTTTCCATGATTTCTAAAAGGGTAATTTTAATTGTTTCTTCCCGATCTGCTTTTTTTTGTTTTATAAAAAAGGCCATGTTTAGAAAATGATTTTTGGTTAACTTTTGATTTCTTCGACTAATTTTGGCTATTTTAACTAATTAAACCACTGAAATCATTTTATGACAAATGTTAGAAACAGAAAAAAAATATTCTCCCTTCATCTCAAAAAATGGTTTGATTTGATCGAGTATGAAGTTTAATAAAAGTATAGAAATAAAATTGTGTGATAAAAATAGATGCAAATTAGATATTTAAAAAAAGGAGAGCACAAAAAGTTTTCTGAAGAAGGAAAAGAGACTAGGCGAGTTACAAATTTATTATGGAACAATCATTCAAATATTTACAGTGCACATTTTAACTTAGCTTAATTATATGTTTAAAATTTTTATTTTTCCTTGTCTCACACGTAACAACTTGTTAGAACATCGGAAGTTAAAGAACAAAATAATCGATATATAAACTCTTGAGTTGAACTAACTAATCGATTGAATTCAATCTTTTAATGTGGTTTAACCCAAGTATCTTATTGTCCAATCCAATTATCTCTACCCAATCCTTAATTCTATCACAACTTTATCCAATAATGCGCATTAATATTTTTCAGTCAAAAATAATCGACTAAAATCTATTTAGAAAAACTTTATTTCATACTCTGTAGAAAATAGCACTCAAATCAATTTTTTTAAAAAATGTTTTATTTTATTGACAACTAGATTCATACCCGTGCGTTGCACGGCAAAAAAATTGTTCCAAAATATAAAAAAATGATATTTTGATAATTTAAATGTTTAAACCCAAATTTGAATTTAAAATATAAATGTATGTTCGACACAAATTAATAACAAACTCTAAAAATTAACGTGACACACAATTGATCACAATATGGAGTTGCATTCTAAAACTCACTTTCTCTCAAACGGGTGTAATATGTTTAAGCAAGAGAGGTTATAGAATCTGTCATAGATTATAAAAAGGTATAATCACACCTCGTTGAAATTACTAACAATTTCATGCCTCGCCTAAAAAAGTGAAAAATATGCTATTCCGTATTAGAATTTTTTATTGAAATAAATCAAGTGGTTCATGTGGTCATTATGAAAAAATAGTCTGCACCTTTTTCCATTGACAGGATAATACCATCATAATAACCATGGGTGGCCCGGAGGGTGTGCAAACTGGCCAACCGCACAGTGCCTCTAAAATTTTAGGACCCCATATTTTTAAATTTGTTAATAATTTTAAAGGAAAAGTATTTTAAAAAAATAAAATAAGGCCCAAAATGTAAATTTAGGACCGGACTAATTTTATTTTTTCATTTTTTAGCCTGATAATAACCTTACTTCCTTGAAATGCTTACCGCCACCTTTGTTTTGAATATCACCTACGCAAGCATACTTTGGACAAACTGAACGTTAAATTTTTGCAAATAAAATAATAAGTCATAAAATTAATGGTTACGGAGTATATAATATATTTGTATGCCTTGTACGTCAGGTGCTTTTTGATTTTAAAATTTTAATGTCTTAACTTCGTCGTTAATCACTACCCTAATAAATTAGTTGGTGCAAAAAACGAATTAAAATTGGAGAATTTAATTCCATCTAATTCAATTCCATAGAATTCCAATTTCAATTCAATTCTAATGCTACCAATTCCATGTATCAAAAAGGCCCTAAGTCTTCGAATTCTTTCGAGATGGTCTTGGGCTTCTATGAACTTTTTGGATTGGACTCACTGGGACTCCTGAATTAAGCCCAAAAATGTTAGCATATTGCACAATATAAAGAGCACATGTGTTTAATGTTAGCAAATGACAAATTATAGTGTTCTATACATGTCTGTTTATAACTTCCTTTGTATTTGTAACACCACAAATTGATATAATCTTCATGCCATTTTAATGTGATACAAAAATAAAAAAACATTCAATGGTGAGATCAATAAAAACAAATATTTGATAATATTCAACTAAAATGTCGAGTGTTGTTTTATAGAAAAAATAGTCAGGATCCTCTTTCTTTGAGAATTCTATTTAAGAACTCAAAGGCTCAAATTTTTTTTCATTAACATGCACAAAGTCACGTTTCTTTTAAAAATTAGGGGTCATTGGCATGTGCAACATGCGCAAAAGTTGACTGGCTTCAATATAAAGCAGAACATTTCATTTTTTTTTTGTAATTTGTTCTCTTAGAGGCATATACTGAGAAAGCTTTTTTAAGGTAAGATGTAGAGCTCTGATTCTATATTTATACGTTTTTCCAAACGTGCTATTTATACGTTTTTCCAAATGAATAAAATAATTTTAAATAATCTAAAAATAAAAATTTAATTACACAAATAGTAAGTTTTTGAAGTTTGTTCCAAATTGTTTGTAACTCTAGCACTACTCTTATTTATTTATCTTTCTATTTCATTCAAATTAAATGGGGCCGCCAAGTATTTAATTGGGTTAAATGATACTCCCTATTTATTAATTGTCTTAAATCCACTTTGAAGAAATTAAAAGAAATGAAATCTTTAAAATGTCTCTAGAACCGTGCAAATTAAATTTGTGAGATCAAAACCACAAATAAGAAATATCATATGGATTATGGAGCAAGGTATAACTACTCCATTTGCTTTTCATAAAATACTTCATCTTTTATTTTTTTTCCTATATTCTCTAAATATTTTTACATTCTATTACATCATACTTTTTACTAATAATCTACTTATCATTTCTTACTTTTATCAATTACACATCAAAGACAAAATTGGAAAGTACGTCAACCAAAAATACACATCTCTTATTTTTTTTCATTAGTCAAAGTAAGAAGTGTTTATGGGAACGTACGAAGTACTTTCAAGTATTTGTCTAATTATAATTTTTTGTAGTCAAAATTGATAAACTTTAACTCATAGTTTTAAAAACCGGACCAGACAGGCCGGTTCGGACCGGGAACCGGCGAACACGGGGTCAAACCGGGCCGGTTCAACCGGTGACAATATTTTTTTTTTTTGCACAAATGTTTCAAAAATTGTTAGTAGTGGGTTTCAAACACACAAACTACTGCCCGCTAGCTCGCCTATCTACCATTTAGCTACCATCCCTTTTGTTGCATGAAGACATTATTTGTTATATATTACATTCTTAAAAATAAACAAATATACATATTCTCAAAAGACTTTTTTTATGTTTAAAAATTCTAAAAATATAATGTTGAAACTATGATTCAAACTCTAAAATATTGATGCAATGGATTCTAATATGAACTTCATATCATAAAACTATTAACTCATTTAAATATTTTAAAAATATTGTGTAAATTATAAAATAAAAAATAAAAGCTCTTATTTTATAATTTTTTATTTGTTNTGTTGCATGAAGACATTATTTGTTATATATTACATTCTTAAAAATAAACAAATATACATATTCTCAAAAGACTTTTTTTATGTTTAAAAATTCTAAAAATATAATGTTGAAACTATGATTCAAACTCTAAAATATTGATGCAATGGATTCTAATATGAACTTCATATCATAAAACTATTAACTCATTTAAATATTTTAAAAATATTGTGTAAATTATAAAATAAAAAATAAAAGCTCTTATTTTATAATTTTTTATTTGTTTAAATAAATAACTATATATATATATATATATATATATATATTGAATTTTCAAATATGCGTGAACCACTGGTTCGACCACTTGAACCACCGGTCCGACCAGTGAACCAGTGAACCAGTACCTTGACCGGTTCGGTCCCCAATCCGGTTCTGAAAACTATGCTTTAACTATCAATTAAATGAAACGAAAAAAAATCAAGTTTTACTAATCTCATCAGTATATATTTAATGCTCCGTATTTGGCTTAAATCCACTCTAGGGAAATGAAAGGCCATTTTTTCTGCAATAAATACTCCCTAATATTTATCTTCATTCAATGTACGGGCTACAATTAACGAAGAATTCTGAAAGTTTTTTTGTTAATACGCAGTACAGTACTCCGTGTATATTTTTATACTGCACGACATTTTTGGTTCATTTATTGCATGGTGTTCCTGGTTCAATGCACGGCCGGCCTAAATATACAAAGAAGTGAATACCTTTTTTAGTAATTTATTAGTACAGTGTGCGAGAAAATAACATTTTTTTTTCTTTTTTTCTTCCCCCAATCCTTTTGCTTTTGTATATAGTATAGATTGAAGCAACGTAATGCAATCAAATTAAAACATACTCTCTTCCTCCTTATTTATTCATCCAGTTTGATTTTTTCGACCCAATCTAGATCAACTTTAGTAGTTAGTAATTCTAAATTTTTTACTCCCTCCGTCTAAACATTTCTTTTTTAATTTGAATTGACACAGAGATTAAGAAAAGTTAAAAAGTATAAAGATTTTTCATGTGTTGTTGACTTGTTGTTGAAGTAATGGAATAAAGGGGATACCTTAGAGAAAAAGTATGGTAATATTGACACATTCATTAAAAGTTTTTTGCTAAAATAGGAAACAAAAAAAGAATTTTTGGACAATCTAGAAGGGAAAGCGAGAAAAAATTAATGGACGGAGGAAATACATATTAATACAATTAAATTAGGTTTTGAAAGTTTTCAGCAAAATATTTTTAATGAAGTTATTTTTATACGAATATACATTATAATTTTTATTTAACCGAGTTAGAAAACTTAGCCTATTTGACTTGAAAAAGTCAAACTATATGAATACACTAGGACGAAGGTCCATACTCAAATCAGCATAATTATTCTGATCCCTCCACTCCCTACAAAATCGGCTAGTGGAGTGGGGGAGTGGAGGGAGTAATTTCGGTCAACTAGCCGATTTGAGTATGTATTCCACTCCCTACAAAATGCATACTCAAATACATAAACTAATTTCTCGAATAAAAAAAGGATATACAGAATAATTCAATGTATTAAAAAATACTCATATTTATCTGATGGACAAGAATTCTACCGAATGATCTAACTCAATGGGCGGATCGCTAGAATATTATTAATCAAAGAACTCGAGATTTACAAAGTTTTACGCTAGGTTTTTCCTCAAGATCCTTGTGAGGATCCCTCTTATTTATACATATCCCTCAACACAATTAAGGTGATTTGTTATTATGGAAGCTAATTCCGCAAATTACGCGATCCAATTTCTGCAGCTCATCTTCCGTAACCTAGTCGCGTAATCCTTCCAAGCAAGCGTGTTACCAACAACTTTTTTATTTGGGTCAGCTCGGGCTCAATGCATTGGGCCGGCCTAACACTGACCTTGGGGTGTCCATGGGTTCCACAACGCACCTGGGCACACGGGTTGGGATGCCCGACGGGTAACAGCTCATAACAAGCCACCCAACTTCTCATTCCATTTGATGGACCACGCTGGGGAATGAGGATTTTTCGATGTCCACGTACTCCTCCTCTCAACGGATCTGAGCCGTCCCTTGCTATTCGTGCGGTAGTTGGCTCGATTACCCAAAAACAATCATCACCTGTCTTCTCCTCTTCTTCCAAGCCTGATAAAACTGCCATTGGACGCCTCCTTCCTCATTGTTCTTTAGCTCCATGATTGCGCCCCGACCCATTTTTTTTGCTTCCAGGTCAGTTTTTTCTTTGCTACCATGTCCTCTATGGATTCCGATCCTTCGCCCCGTCTTCTAGCCCCACTCCGACAGACCAGTCGATTAATTCTGGCCAAGATCAGGGTCCCTCTTGTCTGCCACAGTCGTCACCGGCAGCTGCATCTAGCATGGGACGATGTTGGTTAAGAAAGCAGTTCTTCCCCCCAAAGCCCAAGCTACTAGGGCCCTAGTGTTGAACTTGAGGAGAACATCATGGCCCTGTGCCATTGTCAAATCTCATATCAGGACTTTGTCGATGCCACTGATATGGTTGGTCCCGAAATTGAGGTCTGGCGATCCAGTAAGACCGAGACCGCCTTAGATACCTCCAAGGGGTTCTTCATTGTGCACCTCGCTTCCTTGAAGAGGGGTCTGCGGTGATTCCCATTGCACCCTTTACTTTTGGAGTTCTTGAACGAGGTGGACCTTCTCCCCTGCCAACTAGTCTCTAATTCCCACTGATACATAGCGGGTTACCTGATCAAGTGTCACGAAGCGGGATTGACCCCAAATTTGGACCATTTCTTGTTCACCTTTAAACTCGCCAAGGGTCACAAAGAATGGGTCTCCTATGCTTGCATATCCCAACAAACGAGCAAGTTCTTTGCTAGCGATAAGAAGGGGCCCGCCAAAGATTTAAAGCCCTTCTTTGTCTTTGTCTCTACTGGGTCTGAGTCTCCATCTACAAAACATAAGGTGACGTGACTATTTTATTTTATGAAATGATGAGTTAAAGGGTGGTCAAGTTGTTTTTCAAATAAACCGGTCATTTATTTTTTTAGTTTCAATTAGTTTTTTAAAGTTTTTTAAAACCATTTTTAATTTCATATTCTTAGTTTCAATTATGTTTAAGTTTTTTAGTTTTAATTATTTTAGTAACAGAGTTAACGCGACTGATTATCTCGTTGCAAAAGTTGAATAACTTGTTGCAAACAGATTGCAACGGGAAAACCATACATTGTAAAAATCTGTTGCAGAAAGCTCCCAGAAAAAGGCGCCAACCCCGCGCCATAATTGCAACCGACATTATTATTTTCTGTTGCAAAAATGACCGTTGCAAAATATTTCTGTTGCAAACAAAATTTCTGTTGCAATAGTGCAACGGAAAAATGTCTATTGCAATATTTCTGTTGCAAATATGAGATTTTCTTGTGGTGCCTCCTTCCAACGCGTCAAGCCACAGCCGGCGACGGCCAAGCTTTTGGCTAACACAAAAAAGCTCTCTCAAGGGGCCGTCGAGATTAGGACGGTGGTCACCGAGGAGTCCCTGGCGAAGCTCGGATTCAAGTTCGTCAAAGATGAACGTCACCATCAGCCGACCTTGCTAAGGGACATCCTGGGGAGGAACGCCGATTCAGGTCCCTTCGGTAAGCCCCCCTTTGCTAAGTCTTTCTTGCCTTACCAGCATTATTTGTTATTGATTGCTCATTGATGGCCTTGCATTTTTCAGTCGAGCTAAAAGAGGATACAGAAGGCGACATGGATCAATATCAGTTGCCGTGCTGCCTCACTCTGGGAGACCAGAAGAAGAAAAGAAAGCGGGACGCAGCTTCCCATGACGAGCTGCATCGCCCATCCTTGAGCCACGAGGTTCGCTCCCTACTCGATCATGTGGTGATCGATATGGATCGGAGGATCAAGGGGAACCGACTCCCCTAGTGGAGCTGGGGACGATAGTGGTCAACTCTCCTTCCCGCAAAAGGGTTCATGGGGAAGACTCTTCTGGACGCCATATAGATCAGCGACCTCCCTCCTTGCCTGCCATGACCTTTGACATGGAGACGGAAACGAGGTCGACGAGGTTCACTGTCCCCATTCACTCATCCGCGGGCTTGGATGAGTTTCTTGTAGAGACAATGGTCGTAGTCCACTCTGCCGACCAAGCTCGTCTGGATCTCAGCTCTATCGCGACCCAGCCAATATGGTCCTCTTGAAGTTCGGCAAGGTATGCGCCTTGACAGTCCTCCCTTTCCACTCACTATGTTTGACTTGTGCCTCCAAGCTTTCAACCTTTGATGCAGGCCTCCCTTGGAGTGTGGGAGCTTACCCGTCGAGCGACCGTCCATCAGTCCTCCCTGGACGAGGTGAGGAAGCCGTCTGTGACCGAGAAGAAAAAACAGCAAGACAAGGTCGATCGTCTCGCCAAGGAGCTGGTGAAGGGAGGGCATCTGAACTCCAACCTTCAATGCCGTGTTAGGTAGCTCGAGAGGGAAAATCGCGACCTCCAACGGGTGAAGAGCAACCAGCAAGCTCGAGCCACTCACCTAGAGGATGAGAAGGTTTCACTATATTCTGAAGTGGCATCGATTTCTGCCCGAGTGGCTGCTAGAGGCCGAGAAGGGCGACCTGGTTTGTCGTCTTGAGGAGGCAGTCGAGACCTTCAAGGCTTCTCTAGAATCCCGTGCAACCTCCATGGAGTAGATGGACAAGCTAGTTGCCTCGTGGACACAAACCCGTCCTGGGGAAGATTGGCTGGTTAAGCAGATGGAGGTTTCCTTCCGATTGGGGCTCTTCCAGGCCCAAAAAATTGTTCGTCGCAAGCTACAAGGATGAATGAAGCAGACTCGGGCAACTCTGAGGGTGAGAGCGAGGAAGTTGGCTAGAGCGACTAAGGTAACCAGGTCGACCAAAGGGAGGGGGCTATATATCCAGACGACAGACACGGCCGATGGAGACCCCAATTCTAGCGTCTGAACGACCAACCTCTGTCTGTTGTCTATTTCCCTTCTGAACTTGTAAAAACTCTTATGTATTAAGGTTTCGCCACTAATTGGATTTGTATCACTCAACAACTGTTTTGAATCTTCTCGCATGTTGTGTGTTAATTTATTCCATCCATTTTGCGTTTCTCCTTTTTTCTTTTTTTCGCTCAGCTGGGCCCAACTTCTAGGCCCAATCTCCCAAATAAGCCCGCTTGCGCAGCAGCCCTTATCCTCCAATCGGCTAAGTATGCCGCCCAACTGCCCATCACATCGATCTAAATGAGCCATTGGGCCGGCCCTTTGCCCTAGGTTACTTTACCAATCCAACTGCCCCCAACATTGACCATCCAGACCCTTCGATTTCTTCACCCTAGAACCTATATAACCTGCCTTACACCGCTCATCAGTCCATGCTGATAAGCGTGTCATAGCACCTACAAAAATTTTGTTTGTAACTCCAGTGTAGCATTACTCTTAAAACAAATTTAAACTTTGCTTATAATTTCAGGTCTTGACTTAGGCCCCGTTCCGTTCAACTTATTTTTTCTTATTTTTTCTTATTCTTATTAAAATCAGATCAGATAAGACCAGATCAGATCAGATCAGATCGAATTAGATCAAATCAGATCAGATCAAATCAGATCAGATCAGATCAGATCCAATCAGATCAGATCAGATCCAATCAGATCAGATCAGATCCAATCAGATCAAATCAGATCAGGACTTATTAAAATAAGATCTCATCAAGAATTATTATTATTATTATTATTATTATTATTATTATTATTATTATGATCATCATCATCGTCATTATTATTATTATTATTATTATTATTATTATTATTGTTCTTAAAAATGAAAAAGAATAAACTTTAGAAATAGGTTAAATAAAAAGCTGAGAAAGTAATCCTTAATTATTAGACGTCGGAAAAATTAGTTTTAAAATACATTGACAATGTCAATCTAATTCTACTTTTAAAATATATTTTTATTGCTACTTGTAATTTAAGTTGCTAAACTTTTGATCTTTTATAAGGATGAGATATTTTAATAAAAATACTATCTCTTCTATATATTGATTATCTAAATTTAATTACTTTTAAATGTATATCTAAATTAAATATTTATTCTAATGTATAATTCTAATTTTACAAAAAAATAATCATAAAATAAAAAATATTATTACATTATAATATGAATGATTATTCTAATATATGAATTAACTATTTTTATTTTATTAAAAAATAATCATTAAATAAAAAATATTGATTATATTATAATATGAATTATCATTACAATTTTCAAACGTTATTATAAAGTCAAATTAAATTATTGATTTGAAATTTTAAATTAAATCATAATTAATCAGATCAGATCAGATCCAATCAGATCAGATCCAATCAGATCAGATCAGAACTTATTACAAGTTTAAGTTTAAGGGGCGCTCAGGAGCTGATCACTGAAACTTCGAGGGAAAGAAAAATAAACTCCAAATCTCTCCGATGACATCTTCTCTATCGCCACCGGAGGTTCCCAATGAGCTTTACGTAGTCAACCGCGAGAAGCTCATCAAATCTCTGCGAGCCCATCTATCGTCTTCCTCGCGTCCCCATCAAGGCTTCGTCTTCTTGCAGGTAAAATGGAATTCCTCACTTTCTGCGCCAATCCTTTTCGCTGCTCTTTCCAATTGAACCATTTTTTTATCGATTTGTTTGTTGAAATGTATTAAGGAGCATTTTACGGTTATTGTTTAGGGGGGTGAGGAGCAAAGTCGATACTGCACTGATCATGATGATCTGTTCAGGTACTTACTTGATTATTATCATATCCTCAATGTCCAAACGATTGATAAGCATATTAGCTAGATTGCTTCACGTCACTTCTTATTGTTTTCTATTTGTTCAAGTGCGGGCATTGTTGTTTTAGCTTCGTGTAAGTAATGAACTAAATCACAATAGCACATTAAATTCCCTTGCTTCTTACTTTCTAAAATAATGTTTTGGAAAGCGAATGCGGCAATGCATCAAAGGGTCAAATACTTTCAGGGGTAAGGTTGTGTAAATCTCGACCCTAAAACCCCAACGGAGTTGGTATTATACTGGGTTTTTGTTGGTGGTGGTGCGGTTGTTACGATTTTTGGTACTCGAAATTTTTGAAATGGTTCATTTTATGAATATGAATCAGAATCAAGCACATCACATGTATTCTTCTATATTTGTAATTAATGAACTAAATCAGAATAGCACCTAAAACTCCCAATAAAGTTGGTATTATAAATTATAATGGGTTTTTGTTGGTGGTGGTGCTGTTGTTATGGTACTCCATACTTGTTAATTGGTTCATATTATGAATATGAATCAGAAGCAAGCACACCACATGTATTCTTCTATTTTTCTAAATTAATGCTGTAAATGTTTTTTGTTACACCTCCCTCCTGATTTGATGTTTATCTTTTGGGGTTGTGAGACCGTTAGAGTTCATTATACAGGCCTTCTTTGTTCATTTCAGTTAGTAATTATGTTTTCTGTGTCATGTATCAGGTAAATATTTGATTCGATCGATGTGAGGTCTGACTTCTATTTTACAGCTATATTATACTAGCGCAACTTGATGGATACAAATTGGTGGCTTACTTGCAGACAGGAGAGCTATTTTGCCTACCTGTTTGGGGTAAAAGAGCCTGGATTCTATGGAGCTATTGTAAGCTTAACATATCGGAAAAGTTTTGTATTATTTGGATTCTTAATATTCAATTATTTATCCATTTAAGTATAGTTTCCAAACATGGATTCACATTGTCGCCCCCAAACTTTGATGACCTGCCACACCCCCACACCACATCTTATCCAGCACCATAACCACAATTTCCTTCATTAAAATTGCATCCACCGCGTCATGGTTGTATACAGTTGCAGCCAACCTATGCACCTCCATAGCCTATTTACTATACCATGCACATTACACATAGTCACTTAGATATCTTCCCACCGGTATTGTTTTTACCACCATTGGTTACTTTACCTCACCAATACACCAATATGTTCATCCTTACCCCTCATCCATCTTGCCCACAATGCCTATCCCCACCACCACTCAATGGGTTATCACTTATTTTTTTATTTGTATATATAGATACATATCAATATATCATGCATTTAGATTTAAAAAAACATCATATTTTGTATCTTCCAAAATATGGAGTAATTGTATTTGAGAGGATGATCATATTTTTTAGTTTTCCAATAGATAATGAAAACTTGGGAATTCTAAAAAATGGTCACATTCTCTGTCGAGTGATGTGCTCAAACCTTTCATCACCCTACACAAGTTTAGGACCTTCAGTATTTTCTTTCCAAATGAAGATTGCATATACAGATTTTGGACACACACACACATAAGGGGTTGGGGTTGGGGTGGGGATAACAAACTAGCTATATTCTTTAAGGATGACAAGGTCTTATAAACAACGGTGATTCATTCACCATGCATAAGTTTCTTCAAGCTTTTGGCTTCTTAGAACTTAGGATTCAACCTTGATACACTTTCTTTTCATAAGGATGTAGCAACTGGGGATTCAATGCTCTTTGCACCTAGATTACCAGATTCCTATGCAGTTTGGTTGGGAAAAATAAAACCTCTATCCCACTTCAAGGTAATTCCCCTCTTAAAGCATTGTGTTTATTTTTGTCTTTAAACCAATTAACTTATTTGTTACTTGTTCCAGGAAAAATATAGGGTCAATAAGGTCTTTTATACCGATGAAATTGTACATGTGTTGCTTGATCTCTATAAAGAAAAGGGAAATCCCTTATTGTTTCTTCTGCATGGACTGAACACCGACAGCAATAAATTGTCCAAACCCGCTGATTTCCAGGTCTCAATCTGTCTTCTCTTTCTGGCTTAATGTTTCAGTGCTTTGGAACACCTTGTACTCCCTCCGTCCCATAATTGTATTCTTGTTTCTACTTGGCTCACTTTTTAATAAGGTGAAAATTATGTGGTTGAAATTTGTTTATAGGAGAAATAACCAATTGTAATTACATAATCATTTTCTGGAAAGGGAAGTGGAACAAAATTTTTGACAGTCCAAACAGGTGAGAAAGAACAAAATTATGCAATAGATGGAATAATATTTCTTCCATCATGGAGACATTGACATCGAATTTTTACGATTATGATACTTAATGGGGTAATGGAAAGTATTACGGTAACTCAAGTAGAATAAGAGATGAATCCAATTACCATTGCAGGATTGTATAATACTGTGAAAATAAAATAATGACAAATTATATTTGATATTTTAAATATATCAATGGAATTGATACATTATGTGAAGTAAAAAATACTACTCGTACAAACAAGTAAATTTCTAGAGATGTAAGTAGATTAAAAAATGATAATGCCTTAAAGTTATCTAAAACAAACCATTGTGGTATTCTAGCAAAAGTTTTTATTAGATTTAGTTTTATCGGCACTGTTCTAATGACATTGAACCCAATGTCATAGCATGACCCAAGCCTCCTACGCTGCTCTGTTCGAAAAATTGTTGGTTCCTACCCCCTAACGCATTGCACCCCCAACCAACCCCTCCCTGTTGCCGATTGGCTAAGTAACTACTGTAGCCAATTAGCGAAGGGGAGGGGGTGGGGCAGGTGGGTTTGGGGGGGTTAGGAACCATCAATTTTTCGAACGGAACACCGTAGGAGGCTCGGGTCATGCTATGAACCGTGCCGTAGTTTTATATCTATGTCATCATCATAATCACCATCATTCTTCATGACCACCACCTTAATGGCAACTATGTTGGGGTTGGTGGCATGGCTCTATAGTGTAAAACTGTAAATTAATTATCTCAAATTAGCTAACACTATGACATAATGCAAAATAAAACATAGTGACTAAGTTTTACACTTGCTGGCCCTTATGTCACAATCTATATCAAACCTGCATCTAATGGTTATGACTAGTAGACTAAATTAAAAGGTCACCAATGCAATAAACACTTTTAGAACTGTAGAATGTAGTCTCCATAAGATAATGTATGTGTTGTGTTTATTTGTATCTTGATAACAGTTAAACTATCCAGAATACATAATATAAGGGGCTCACCACGGGCCTAGCAACTAATAATTTAGCTCATAGAAAGCAGATCTATGATTAACAATGAAATGCCAATGAAATAGAAAGAATAAAGATAAAACTGAGAACAAGATGTTGACAGGTTGGCTGCATTCTTCTCTTTGTCCTTTCCTTCCTTTTATCCCTTGGATGAAACTCCATTTTTTTGCCAACGTGGTAGAAAATTCTCTACTGGTGCTTCCCTTGAGTTTTCCACTTTTAAACTCACTCAGTAATGCCTTAATAACCCCACACTTATTATAATTATCATGTCATCAAAGCATTCCGTCCATTCCCTCACTGTTAGTGTTTTTCTTTGAGTAACATTCTCAGTAATTGTGAATTTGTCATTAAAGGAGAAAAAAACTCTGCTCCTCTTTTATGTTTTCTGTGTACTCTTCTTTTCATCCCATAATGGATTCTCGTCAAGACAAAAAAGTCTGCTCCTTTTGTATGTGCTGTTTATTTATATCTTGATAACAGTTAAACTTTCCAGAATACATAATATGAGGGGTTGACCACTAGCCTAGCAACTAATAATTTAGCTAATGCTCATATCAAGCAGATCTTAGATTAACAATGAAATACCAATGAAATAGAAAGAATAAAGAAGATAAAACTGAGAACAAGATATTGACAGGTTTGCTGCATTCTACTCTTTGTCCTTTCCTTCCTTTTATACCCGGGATGAAACTCCATTTTTTCCCAACGTGGTAGAAAATTCTCTAGTCTCTACTGGTGCTTCCCTGGGGGTTTCCACTTTTGAACTCACTCATTAATGCTTTAATTAACCCCACACTGATATAATTATCATGTCATCAAAGCATTCGGCCATTCCCTCACTATTTGTGTTTTTCTTTGAGTAACCTTCTCAGTAATTGTGAATTTGTCATTAAAGGACTGTTGTACTCCTCTTGTCCTCCCATAATGGATTCTCATCAAGTAGAACTATGCAGTTGTCACTGACAGTCGCTCATTAATAGACACTTGAAAATATTGGACCCCAAGTACAAAAGAAGGATTGGACAATGCCACAATAACTAAAGAGCCTATATGTAGTCAAGAAATCTCTAGAATGAGTTGATTAACTAAATATTTTATGAATCCTGATCTGATTCAACATTTAGAATTTATAAGTTCTTCAAAAATTAAAGGCATTCTAAAATAGAAAAAATAAAACGTGTTGGAAACTGCATACGATGATGAAATAGTGCATAACACATTGCATCAAAATCAGCTCAGAGTATGCCACTATCCAGAAAATGCTCCTGTAAGTTCACCCCCCCCCCCCTATTTATTGCTTTCTGTCACTCATTGCCATCATTATGCTAGAAGAATTACTGTTTTTAACAAGAGAGGCAGCAGTATACAATTAGATGCTGACATTGGATAATGGATATTGAGTTCTGTTAGTGAGTTTGACCATATTGTGATAGTAGTATACAGGAATGTGTTTGATCAATACTGTAGCAGCATCCTTCCATGAAAATTGAACTCCATCCGACTTATAGATATTTTACTTCTCTCCTATTAGATGTGTCCAAAATTTCTGTTCCACATTCCTTGAAAAAATGTGTGCTTGAAATTTTTTCTCCTCTAAAAAAATTTCAACCACGCAATGTTCACTTTATTAAATAGCGAGCCAAGTCAATACCGGAACATAATTACAGGAGAGAACAAGTATATGATTTTGTGCACATGAATTGTCGGTGGATTGTTTTAGCTGTCTATAGAAATGTGTTCAACAAATAGTTCACTGAGCTGATTGTGTTGATGGTCCATAAAATCGATTCTTTTTTTGGTTTTTTTTACATGTTCAGGGTATTGACAGATTTAAGATAGATATGAACACATTACATCCTATTTTAGCCGAATGTCGTGTTATAAAGTCAGATTTGGAGCTTGCTCTCATCCAGTTTGCCAATGATATAAGCTCTGAAGCTCATATTGAGGTCAATCTTTCCCTACGGTAGAACTATGTGAAACAGTTTCCCTGATTACAGCTATGGTGATTTTTAGCTGCTATATTTTCTTAATGGAGTTTTATAATTTTAATAGTGTTTACATTTGCTTACAGGTTATGAAGAATATAAAAGTGGGTATGAAAGAGTATCAATTAGAGAGCATGTTTCTTCATCATACATACTTTTTTGGTGGTTGCAGACATTGTTCATATACATGTATTTGTGCTACCGGTGAAAATAGGCGAGTTTGACTCTTTCCACTAGAATGTTGTACTATCACATTTGAGATAGTGAATGTGAAAAGTAGATTTGATGTCTATTGAAATATATGTATTCAATTATTCAATACATATTGCAGTTCTGTTCTCCATTATGGGCATGCAGCAGCTCCAAATGACAAGGTATGCTGATTACTTTGCTCCTTTCTAGCAATGCCCTAGAAACAACCTAAGATTATTTGATTAAATTGATTTGAATCGTTTGTTTATGTTTGTTTTTAGCTGTTTGAGAATGTGTTGTTTGTTTTTAACTGTTTGAATCTAAAATTTGTAGTGATATTAATTTTTAATCCAAGTGTTAATATAATTTAGTGTACATTAGTTAAAAGTGTTGGAAACCTCTCTACTTTCTAGTATAGGTAAGATCTACGTACACACGCAAATGGTGGAGAGAGAGAGAGAGAGAGAGAGAGTAAAACTTATCAAATGGATGTAAATGAGAGGCTACATGGGTGATGGATACCCTAGGCTGGGTATCAGGCCAATGGAAGAGGACTCAACTTGAAGGCTTTTGGGGGAGACCTTGGCTCATGCCTTGCGGCTTGTCAATCTCTCTGTGCGGTGGTCAACCTGATAATTTTGACACTACATTTTCAATTGTTCTATTTGTACTTTGTAGATACTGCAAGATGGAGATATGGCCCTGCTTGATATGGGAGCTGAGTACCACTTCTATGCTTCAGATATAACTTGTTCCTATCCTGTGAGCACAACTTCATTATTCATGCGGATGAGAACTCTTTTCCTTTTATGCGATGCTTTGGATCATAATTTGTGTTCAACTCCCCATGTTTTGTTATGGGGCAATTCTGTTGCTCTTGCAGGTGAATGGGAAATTCACTCCTGACCAAGCTCTCATTTATAATGTGAGTGATCTCTTTATTGAGCATTAGTAGTATCAAATATGCCATAATTACTAGGAGCGTGTGAAGTATCCTCTATCCATGCATTCCAGTTATTTCGGTACTATTTACTTCATTTAGCATATATCTAGTTTCTTAAACATTTGAGAATGCCTCAAAATTTCACTAAAAGCATTATGTAAGTTTCAGAGGATTGAACATATACATAATATCCTTGAGTGTTCTGTCCACATTCCGTGAGAAACAAATACAGTTCTTTTCATTAATAATTTTTTTGGGTCTCCTGTTCCTCTGAATCTCTCAATGTTTGAGAATGCCTCAAAATTTCAATATACACATTATGTAAGTTTCAGAGACTGGAACTTACATAATACCCTGAGTGTTCTGTCCACATCCTGTGAGAAACAAATACAGTTCTTTCCATTGAAAAATTTGTCTAGGTCCCCTGTTCCTCTGAATCTCAATAGTCAATAACATGGCTTAAATAAGGTATAGTCGTGAGTTGGGAGAGAGTTGTTCTAGGACTTCTAGTACCATATTCGCTATATGCATAGAGATGCACCCACATATGCTTTCTATAGTTTCATGTTTCTAGATAGTGACTTTCGGTCTCTCCAGTTTCCATACTTTCAATCTAACCTTTCCTAATCCATCTTAGCCAACCACTTCAACCGTACATGGTAACAGCTTCAAAGTTCAAACAGCCAAGCTACCATGGAAAGTGTGAAGAGCCTCCATCTGCTTTGCTGAATTGGGAAGACTCATTTTTCTTCTTTCTATCTGCTTTATATTTTCAGGCTGTCCTTGATGCTCATGATGCTGTTATATCTACTTTGAAACCTGGAATTTGTTGGGTTGACATGCACAAGTAAGATTTTGAAAATAGATGACCGATTTAACATTCACAAACTTCTAATTTTGATATCTGCTGCGGTTTTAATTTTTAACTTCTTTAGCTTGGCATAACAGAATGTATTTTTCCATTAACCATCATCTACAATTCTTTGCGCTTAATTTGCAGGTTAGCAGAAAAAGTAATATTAGAGTCATTGAAGAAAGGGAACCTATTAGAGGGGTAAATTCTTTTCCTTTGACTTGCCAACACTCTACTACTCTAGTCCATATGATTGATAGTATTGTTGAAGAATGTCATTCCTGTCCCCNCAACCAATTCAAAGTACAAGCTTTTACAAGTTATGAATGGTCACTTGTACTCCTAAAACTTGTTTTCAAGATTGTTTGGAGTACTTGCCTCTGCAGAAAAATGAATACTTTCTTTTTGGGATGCAAAAACTTCTAGAAATATGACTATGTTTTAAGTTTTAACGGTACCCACTCCGTCTCACTATTTTGGACATGAGCGTCACAATATTTTAAGAAAGTTATTTCTGTGCGGTTAATATTGAATTTGTACTGTATGAATTGACTTGAGCCACATTTCCGTACCACATATGCTATTTGAAATTTTTTTAGGGACAGACCAAAATGGAAAAGAAAAGACGAAGATGGTGGGCAGAGTAATTATTATACTGCTTTGTGTTATTTTTTTCTTTCAGTGATGTTGAGACAATGATGGGTGAGAGATTGGGTGCTGTGTTTATGCCTCATGGTCTGGGCCACTTCCTTGGTATTGATACTCACGATGTTGGGGGTTACTTGAAGGTTACTTGTCGTCTATGCACAACACTGTACCGTTTACACAATTTGCAATTTTACCCAGGCTGTTTTGCTCTATGTGATTTGTAACATTCTTTTGTGACCGGGAAACAAATAAATTCAATGTCCATTTCAGGGAGCAGAGAGACCCAAAGAACCAGGATTGAATTCTCTACGTACCAGCAGGGAACTCTCCGAGGGAATGGTGTGTGCTTTGATTTACAAAGACTTGAGATCCTCATTCTTCTATCCTTTTTTTTTGTAAAGAGTTGTTACACAAATTAGTCTCTTGACTGTATAGTGCCCGGTTGGCAACAGCTTTAGTGTTTAGCTCTTAGCCTTTTGAAAAACATATCCAAAATGCTACTGCTAATTTAAACTGATGTTCCCAAACAAAGCCATACAATTCCTCATTTCAGTCATTGGTTTTCTTTGGGACTCAAATTGGTCATCCAAAGTGGAATTTAGATCTAAGGCTTATATTTTAATATAATTATGAAGGGTATTTTTGTCTGCTAAAGCTTGAGGGTTCAAAATACATACTTCTTCAGTTCTTCTGTCCCAAAAGAAGGTTCCACATTACTATTTGCAAGGTTAAACTATATCTTTTTTCCTTACATACTTTAACTGATCATTTGACAGAATAAAATAGTTATGCCTCATCTTATGATGTAGAACTTTGTAGTTTTAGTTTTTAAATATATAGATTTTATTCTTTTACATATACATCAACTTTCAAATAAATTCAACCGAAACTAGTTCAAACTTAACCTTTTTCTGGGATGGATGAAGTAGTTGAGATCTGAACCGAGTCCTAAATTATGTCTAAATTAGTGAATTGATAACATACCCCTTTATTTAGTTTTTCTTGTTGCAAAATATGTATGGAAGAACCTGGGGTTCCTATTACATACTTGAGGACTAAATTGAGTCCCAAGAAAACTCAATGACCAAATTGCTAAATGATAATAGTGCTTAGAAAACATAGCTGCTCCTATGCTCTCCTTGTGTTCATGTGTGAATTCCTCACATTCTCAGTTCTCACATTGCTGCTACGGAGTATTATATTTTCAGGTGATAACAGTGGAACCTGGATGCTACTTCATTGAGGCATTACTACTCCCTGCAATGGAATCCTCAAAAACATCCAAGTTTTTCAAACACGAGGAGATCAACAGATTCAGAGGATCCGGTGGTGTTAGAATTGAGAGTGATGTGGTAAGTCTTTTTTCTACACTTCTTGAATGTCGACTAGACTATACAGTATTTTTGTGTAGGGTCCGGTTCTATGGCCACCAAGTTTGAGTGGCCACCGAAACCCTGGACACCTTACTACCTAAGGTGCTCCATTCACAAAATTGATAATTCCTACCCCCTAACCTCCCGGCACCCACTCTCGTCCCCAACCCACACTCCTACCCACGTCATTGCGGGGTGCAAGTTTAGTTGACTTTGGGGTCAAAATTTTTGACCCCAAAGTCAACTAAATTTGCACCCCGCAATTGATGTGGGTAAGGTGATGGGTTGGGAGGGTTTATCAGGGGTAAGGGGGGTAGAAATTACCAATTGGGATAGTGTCCTCTGTGGCCACTTAAAAGAAAGTCGCCATGGAACCAGAGTGTTTTGTGCGAATGTCTATTTTGGTCCCATAACTTTGGGACATCGGCTGCCTTGTTACTTTGGGTCATCGACTTAAAAATTAAATTCAATCTCACAAGATGGTTAATTTTTATCCTACTTATGTATGTGTTCTTGATCCAGAAGACACTACACGTTTTTTATTGTATGTTTGTGCTCTTATTTTCAATACTTTTACAGCGGATTACCGCGAATGGGTGCATAAACATGACCAAGTGCCCTCGAAAGATTGAAGACATTGAAGCTGTGATGGCAGGCGCTCCGTGGACTATCGATTAAGCATGAAACATTACTCGTGTAGAGTTGTCGTTGTTGGTCACAGCCAATTGGTTTGGTTGTGTTATTTACTTCATTTAGACCGGTTGCTGGAGGATGGTAACTACTAACTAGTGTATTTTAGTGGCTATTTTTTTTAGTTTTTTTTTTTTAAAAAAACTTGGAGTGGAGTAAAGGTTTGAATTTCTTGTCTTTTTAGTGGTGCGGATGAACAATATTTTATTCGTTTTATGCCTATTCTCTAACTCATTATGTGGTCAAAGGTCTCAAAAGACATTTCTCTCTCTATGAATTTTTAGTAATGAACGTCTAGTTCATACTCTAATGTTTTCTCATAATATGAAACCATTAATTGGTGTAACTTTAATTGCTTTGATGTTTCATTCTATCAAAATAATATTAGTGGGAAGTATAGCTTTAAAGGCACAAATTGCTTCATCAGTATTAGATGAACTTGAACTTTTCCAATTTTATTTTTTTAAAAAATAGAATATATAGTTCACTATATCTCTTTTATTTAGCTTCATTCTAACCACATATTTTAAATTTTACAATATTTATTTTTTAAAATTTTATAAAGTTAAATTATATGGAGTAACTTCCTGTCCCAATAAATTTAAATTGGATTTTTCCTGTCCCGATAAATTTAAATTGAATTTTGCCACTGATTATATTCCATGTATGTATTACGTAGCATCTGGTAGCAATACAATTAGTCCTATAATTTCTCAACAAAGATTTACATTTTGACTTCGCAAGATTTTAAAAAAAATGTACAAAGAGAGTAATTATATTTTTGTACTTATAAAAAGAATGATTTTTTCTTAGGACTCATCTATTTTTTTAAGTCATCTATGTAAAATGTGTTTTTTTACAAATAGTCCTTCCACCTAATTAATGTGTCAGGGTTTGCAATGTCTTAAAACAAAAACACTTCGGACATAAATTCAACGTGATAAATTTTTTTTTTTCTAACTTCACTAACTTTATATATATTCGACATTAACATGAAACTTTTGAAATGGTGAGAACACCATTTCCAAAAAGATTATTGGGATGACTAAATAAAAAAACTAGAATGATCAAAAGTAAAAGTCACATAATTTATACTTCCTCCGTTTTAGTTTATTAGTGCGTGTTTACTATTTACATGGTTAAACTTTATTCACTTTCTTTATCTATTTTCATTAGCAATTTGATAAAATAAAGTACTATTGTCACTACTAGTTTTGTAGATCTTTTAATGTAGTATTTTAATATGTAATTTTTATTTTTTAACTCTATACCATTTGTCATATAAAATGATTTGAAAATAATTTCAATCAAACATTGTAAATCGAAACAGGTACTATAAATTGGGACGGAAGGAGAAATAATTAAGTATGAAAAACGAATATCTCTTTAAAATCTCATGCCCAATTTGTATAGGTCTACATGCCTTATTACCCGTTCTCTTAAGGTTACACTTAAGCTACCCCGTTATCCGTATATGGTATGAGGAGGGAGTGAATGGGGATGGTTGGATAAAAATAATACTCATAATGTAAAATGATGAAAAAACATGGGGTATGGTGAGGATGATTGGGGGCGATGAGTATGAAGATGCATTAAATTTTGATTGGTTGGAATTTTAAAAAATTAAATGAAAAACGAAACCCTTCTGGTGATTGCCTTCACCCTAGCGGGGTCACGCCCCCATCACGGCTAGTGCAGCACGGCGGGGGGAGCGCGACGGGACAGGACGACCGGTCACCACCTTCGGTCACATAACCTTTTTTCTCAAAACAAAAGTATCTATAAAATAGGTTTATTACGATGTGCAAATACAACATTGTGTATTGGAATTCTACGCAATTATTTAATACTCTCTACGTCCCCATTTTGGTAAGAATTTTATTTTCTCTTTCCTCTCGATAACTTTTATTTATTTACGTGTTTTCATTGATTATTTAATAAAATAAATTTTTGCCACCTCTTGTTTTGTGAGTAGAACTTTGGGCATAATTTTTTAATATTTAAATTTTATTTCTTATTAATATATACTACTTCCTCCGTCCCAAATTATAATGCTTGTTCACTATTCACAGGGTCAAACTTCATTCACTTTCTTTCTCTATTTTCGTTAGCAAATTGATAAAATAAAATATTGTTGTCACTACTAGTTTTGTAGATCTTTTGATGTAGTATTTTGATATGTAATTTTTATTTTTTTAATTCTATACCATTTGTCATATAAAATGATTTGAAAATAACTTCAATCAAACATCGTAAACCGAAACATGCGTTATAAAATGGGACGGAGGGAGTAATTTTTAAATAAAATAATTTCAAAAATCATAGAATTTAACATCGTAATTCCAATTTTGTAATCAAAATAGGGATAAAGAGAATATTATATATTGACAATTTGACATTACAAAAATATAAATATTCTATTTTGGTTCTTTCATATATGCTTTACTCTTATTTTAATGTTACTCTTAATTTAGTGTTTCTTATTGAAATTATATTGGAAAACTTCAAGTCAGAAAAATTCAAATCAAATTAGAAAGATTAAGAACAAACCGAGTACAACCTAGATCATGCTCTTATGCGAGTACATTTTCTCCATTTCCCGAATAATTTTGGATTTTTCGTCTTGGCCACGGTGAAGGAAGAAGAAAACTAGAAAAGTCTATCCATCCTAAAACTAATTTCCATTTGCACCCTAAAATGTTTAACTAATGCTATTTTCAATTTAATTTGTTGGAAAATGTAGAATTTAAAAAATAAGATTTACATATTTAAAAAAATATATCAAAATATTTAGAAATCTAAAAATGACGTGATAATGTTTGTATCAAATAAGTAACGAAAATATACTAACAAAACAGATTAGGTTTGAACGGTAAGATAGCTTTAGGATAGGAGAGTAATTACTTGTTCCAATTAGAAGCTTACGCTAAATGTGGAAACAGGCAAGAGTTTCTTCCTAAGAAAACGTTTTTCCAGCAAAGGAAAATCTCTATGCAAGAGATCCGAATTAGGGATCATAAACTATTGAAAAAGACCCCCCCAAACGAATCCTATACTTATAATCTATATGTCAATGTTAGGAATAATGGTTTAAAAAAAGCTACAACACAACATTGAAATTATCAAGATTTTAATGCAACAAAGAATTGCATTGGATTAATGATTGGACAAGAAAGAAGTGTGGGTTACACACATTCAATATTAATTAGTAAGTCACAGAAAGATATAAAGGGTATGCGGGGGGTGGGGTGGGGGTGGGGGGGGGNGACTCACAAACTATCTGTTCTCAACCAGGGCAAAGGGAGGCTGCCGAAGGCAACTCCAAATAGTCCAAATCGTCTGTAATTCCTACCTGATAGAAAATATACGGAGTATATAATAAAGTTTAATAAAAGTGATCTATTTGGCTTTCAAAAAAAAGAAAGTTATCTATTTGAAACCTGTTTTGTCAAGCAATGCAGATAACAATTAACATATACAAAGTGGAAATCAAAAGAACATATTGAACTTCATTTGTTTCTTACTTTCCATGAAATTTTTGATAGTTAATGCATTAAGGGTCTAAAAGAAATAACTTTTTCTAGGCTAAGATTGCGTACATCACGGTCCCCTAAACCTCAACGGAGTTGGGATTAAGGGTTTTGTTGTGTTTGTTACAGTGGAATCCCACTTGCAATTCTGTCCAAAAACTCCAAATGAGCAAAGATTGATGTCATTGTGATTTCTTTTTTTTTTCTTTTTTGAAAAAAAAAATGTTATGGACAAAAAATTGATGCCATGTTGGACATGGGATCCAGGGTGCTTACAATGATGGGCTTAACTTCAGAAAAAACTATTACCTCATTGTATAGGTGATCCAGTTGCTCTTTGGCCTGAGGGAAATTATTGGAACACCATTGTCTCAGTGTAAAGATGTTATCTGCAATACACAAGCACTGTCAGAAAGGAACAATTGAAAGAAAGCAGGCAATTAGGAATAAAAAAGAAAAAAAGAACTACTTTAAACTATTACAGAGCATTTGGTAGCCAAGACAGTACTTTCTGGGAATTTAAAAGATGAGAAAGTGATACCGTGTTTGGTTATGACTTTGTCCTGGAAAATTTTGGTCAAATTCTATGAAGGTATGAGGGAAAATAAAAGTTATGGTGACTAGAATCTTTCTCCAGACAAGTTAATTTCCTGAAAAGCACTTTTTTGGACATAAACGGGTGTGCTTGCTTCTCAAAAAGGGGGAAAACTAAAGTTATCATCTTATGCCTGGTCTCTTACCTTAGAAAACGAAAAGGAAAACAAAACATCATTAGCTTTTAAAACAGATCTAGTTCTTTTAGATTTCAGTGTCTGTAATAGACATAATAAATAAAATAAGTATCAACAATTAACTAAATAAATTGATTGAGTTTTATTCATTCCCACATTTTCTGTCCTTCAAAATTTCCTCTACAGTTTCCTTCCTATTTTCTCCCCGTAGTATTTCCAAGTCCCAGGCAGAACCTAATTGAATGGAAAGTACCACCTCCGTCCCATACACTAATTCTTATTTCTCAACTTGTTTTTGTCCCACGAAAAGAGGTATATTACTCACCTTGTTTACAAATATTTTGTAGATATTTAGTACTCTCTAAGAGTTGTACCTTACTAAAATCTAAAAGGTGTACATTCATCAACACCGACTTTTTAATAGGGCTGAGGGTGTATTAAACACCCTCAAAAAGAAAAATGTGATAACTCAATGACAGAAAAAGAAACCTGTCCATCTGTTGGCTGCAGCATGAGCAACTTGAATTGCACTCCCTGTCAAATGAAAAAAACATCTTAGAATGATCTAAGATCTTTTCCTGTCTAAAAACAAGCATTCTTTTTATAATATGCATTGATTGATTTACTAGTAGTTTTTTCATTCGTAACTCATTCTTTCAATAGTAGCCGGGTCATTGTCTGCATACTGTGCCAACTCTTCCTGAAAATGTTTATCACCCATGCATACACCTTTTAGTCAAGTCTCGTTTATATATTCCAAGGAAGATTCTTATCATTATCCAAAACATGACCATGTATATCATTGAACCTTCAACTCCTTGTGTTTCTGTTCAGTAGCTTTTAACTCCTCTAGGGCTTCTTCTCGCTCATCCTGATGGAAGCCAAAGAATGAAAGGCCAATAAGTTAGTCTCAAATTCTTATTAGTACAAGTCCTCAGAATGGAAGATTCGTATTAACTTACAGATTCCTCACGTCCTTTCTTCAAATTCTTAGATTGTTCAAGAAGTTCTGAGTGCCTCTTTTTACTGCTTTGGAGATCACTCTCAAGCTTTTTGTACACATTTCTAAGCTGTGAAATAGATATCATGCATTGAATATTCACAATTAAGATAGTACCCTGTCAATATAGTGTAAATAATATGCAAAGTTTGGTCACCTGATTTCCTGCACAGCTAGGAAGGCTCCAGAAATATACCTGAAAATTAGTTTACATCTTTTTCTCAAAACAGTGAGTGCAATTCAACAAAAATTACAAAGCAAGAAACATTCAGTTGATAAAACAAAACCACACATGCACAGTTTATACCCCTGAGAAGTAGTGTCTAAGGAAGGCGAGATGTATAGTTGAATGCAATTACTAACTCTACTCCATGAATACCCAAGCAAGTAGTAGAAGAGAGCATAAAAATGTGGAGGAAAAAAAAAAATTGTTTCAGGAATGAAGGATTGGAGAGGCTGTTTCCATGTATACCCAAGCAAGTAGTGGAAGCTAGCACAAAAACTGTGGAGAAAAAAGTTTGGGCATACAAGCCAAGCAGTATAAAGAATCTAGCAATGATTAATACATAAAAGTAACAAGAAAGTAGGTGCTCCGTATGTCCCATAATAGTGGTCTCATTTTAGTTTATGATGTTTGGCTTAACTTCTTTTCAATTCAATTATTTAAATGTTCGTGCAAAATTCAAAAATAAAATTTATATAAGGTATTTAAAAACAACACCAAAAGCTCTAAAACAAGATGTGACTTGATTGTTTTATTTGAACATATGGATATGATTAAAGAAATAGATAAGGAAATAAACTTTGGTTTGACCATGTTAAACCATGTAAACAATGACGTGACCAATATTATGAGATGGATGGAGTACTAGCTAATACCCACCCATGCACCCCTACATGGCTAATAGAGCCCTCAATCACCAGCAACGATGCTCTAAGCTCTATAGTCTAATCTGTCACCTCCGGGGGGATGGGGGAGGGGAGGGGCTATGAGAGGTCATGTACAAAACATGAAAAACACATCACAAATGATTTCAGGCACATATAACCCTTAAATAACTGGGAGTGGAAAACTTCATAACAGTGGGTCATGAAATGGTGCACATAATGCCCTGTACGCAATATTAATTGCAATAGCAACATGTATAAGGAAAGACACTCACAGAAGTCCCTATCTTGTCTTTTGAAACGAGGTCATCATCCACCAAACTTTGTACCACATCTTTTACAGACTGGCTGATAACACCTTTCTTAGGCCCCAATTTCTCAAGCTCCTTTAGCTGAACAATGCATACAAAATACAAGAAAATAAACTTAATGCAACTAAGTACTGTGAATATTTCTGGAAAATTACTTGATATAGCCTATAGGAACTTTTGAGGTTAAAGAATGAACAAACAACAACAACCTAGTTGGATCCCACAACGAGGAGCATTGCTCATACAAAAAAACTAAAACTCTTCTTCTTATGAAAATCATAACACGTGGAATAAGATGACTTACAAGGAAGAAGTCTTGTGAATCATAAAAGATTTGCAACATTCTCTCTCGCTTCTCTTCTAATGAAAGACCTCTTTTCTTTGACTGCATAACAGGACAGCAGAAGTCATATGTTTATCCTTGCACACCATTAAGGCAATATTCAGACACGAGAGCTGAAGTATAGTCATCTTCACAAATCCAGAAACATGCTCACTTAGGTATTCAGCATAGCATAAGGCTTTGTCAACCATACAGAAATAACATGTGTATGCCTATTTTTTCTTCTTCCTTAATAAGAACAACCAATTTTTGAAGACTATATACTGAAAACCAAAGTTATGCTTCGAATTGACAATGGAGTTGATGAAACCCCTATCCTATGCTCATATAGAACCACTATTTTAAAGCAAGACAAGATTCATTTCCACTAAGAACAAGACTTAGGCATGATAAAGCAGCTGCATAGAGGAAAATTTTAACTTTCTGCCCTATTTAATTTTTAACGTTACACGAATTCTATCTATACTACTCCGTGTTTTTAATACTGACATGATTATTAAATCATTGATTAATGCAGTTCCGTATGCTGATTTTCCCGCCAAAAGTGACCGAAGAAATAACAACAGAAGCAGAGATAGGTTTACATTTTGCTCCAATTTTCGCCAATAACAAAAAAAAAATTAACAGTAAACATAAACCACAGATCTATAAATATGAATTTTAAAAAAAAAAACTCAAAAATGATCAAAACAACTAAAAAAAACTCGGTTCCTGTGTGGATAATCGAAACTAGATAGAAATTAGTTTGTAGATTGTTCAAAAATAAAAGTTGGAATCGGAGCAGATAAAAAGATCAGAGTAAAGACGGGACGGGGGAAAGGAAGTTTACCTGCATAATGAATGATCGATCAATGGACGACTGTGTTTCCCGGGCGTTGCTGCAGAAATGAAATTCTAAACGTAGATTCTTTTAAGATATGCCCGCCCAATCTTGTTAGACAAGCTATATGTAAACCCTCCAAAATGATCCTCAATCCAGGCTATATTATGTTACAATTAAGTTATTTGTACACAAAATTTGTACTATATTTTGCATCCTAATTCCTAAAGATATGTACTAATATTTGTGCTAGTGTAATGTTAGTATGATGAATTATATTGATTAAAAATGTTAGTGCATTTTTTTAATTGAACTAATATTTTCTGTTTGTATGAACTGTTAAAACGTCGGTGCATTTCTTTGGGGTACAACTTGAGGTACACTTTTGGTATACCCCTATGATGGTTGATTCTGTTATTGTTAAATATTAAAATTTTCAAAAATGCTAGGAGTACACTAAATATTGTACCCGATTTGTACCCCCTCCATCTCTACCATACAAATGCGAGGAAAAAAAATGAAAAACTTAGAATCAATGGTGTATAAATGGGGCAATCATTTGATGTACCCCTAGCATTCCTCTAAAACTTCTCAATTGCTTTAGAATTTAGGTTTTATATTTAGTTTTTATTGTTAGACAATAATAATAGTATTACTTGTGGTAGTATTGGTTCTGGTAGTGTTTCATTATTTATCAACTTCCTAATGGTATTTGTGGTAGATGTTGTATTTTAGTTAGTCTCCATTCTCTATTTCTATTGTGTTAGGAGTCTCTTCCATTTATACTCTATCATGTACTTTATAATTCAAGGAGCAATATTATTATTCCAATATTTCAACATAGTATCAAAGTCACCGCTCTTGGTGACCTACAAGAGTTCTTTTCTCCCACCGCAGCCACCGGTAATTCTGGCGACGGCGGCTCCACCTTATTCACCTCTATTTTCTTTTCCTTCTTTTATCCTCAAATCAACTTCTCCATTCAAATGGAAAAAAAAAGAAAAAACCCGTGTTAATATCACACAAAAAACCCATCAAAGGAAGAACTTTTCTCTTGTCATCTCCATGGTTCTTCAAAAAAACCCAATTCCTCACAAACTCTCTCAACTCATCCTATCTTCTCAAAAAAAATGATGTTGTTTCTCTCCAATTCACCATATCAAAATCTCAAACACAAATCTTTTTTCCATCACCAATTCTTAACATACTTGTTCTCTCTTTAAAATCACTCATTCGAATCATCAACTTCCCTCCTCTTTTTCTTCTCTTGAACCAATAAAAATCCAAAGTAAATTAGCACAAAAGCAAAGCCAAGCGAAAGTAGTGAAGGACGAAAGAATACCTCTACAACTTACCTCTTCAAGAAGGAAATAGGGCATTGCCCGGATCCAAGAAAAAGACAAAGAATGTCAAGGATCTTCAATCAAAGAGACACCTCCAATAGCCTTCTCTTTTCTTCTTCGATGTCAGCAGCTACAAGTGCGCGTCAACCCTTTCTCTCTTCTTCAAAGAAGTCAGCAGATACGAGCGCACGTCCAACTTCTCTCTTTTCAAACAACGTCAGCAGCCACTGGCGCACATCAAACTTCTCTCTTTTCTAACGACGTCAGCAGCCACTGGTGCACGTCAGACTTTTCTATTCTCCAACGGCTTGAGCAGCCACCAGTGCACATCCGATTTCTCTCTTTTTTAATGACGTCAGCAGCCACCGGCGCACATTAGACTTCTTTCTTTTCAAAGTTTCCAATTTATATCTAGTCTCCAAGCTTCCTCTTGCTTCAGCGAGACTTCAGCTTGAGGGGGGATGTTAGACAATAATAATAGTATTACTTATGGTAGTATTGGTTGTGGTAGTGTTTTATTATTAGTCAGCTACCTAATCCTGTTTGTGGTAGATATTGTATTTTAGTTAGTCTCCATTCTCTATTTTTAGTTGTGTTAGGAGTCTCTTCTATATATACTCTATCATGTACTTCATAATTCAAGGAGCAATATTATACTTCCTATATTTCAACACATACTATGTATTTATCAAATATTATATTGACGGGTCTTATTAATTGGGTATCATTTCATGTTTGATCATCCATCTATTTTATCGTTTTTGTGCCGTTAGATAAGGACTAAACGTGGGGTGATATCGAATTAATTGTAAGACAACGTGTACAACTCTAGAGGGGGGGTGAATAGAATTGTTCAGAATGTTTACGGTTTTTCACAGCGTGAGTGTGTAAATAAAAATAAACGAGTGTGCTGCGGAATAAAAGAGAGAAGGCAAATAACACACTGATGTATACTGGTTCACCACCTCGTGGCTAGTCTAGTTCCCCTAGAGACTCTCTCCAAGCTACCACTACTTATCAAACTTCAACGGGTGATTGACAAACTGTTTACAACTCGAGAACTTGAATTCCACAAGCCTCAAGACAACCGCTCATAGATGTGCCTTCTACAAGACATCACACCCAAAATTTAAGTCACATTAGTCTTGTACAACAAGAAGAGTAACCTTCTTCAATCTCACATCAAAACTCTCACAAAAGTAGAAATGAGAAAATGATTACGATCTATGGATGACAAGAACACTCTCTTGAAAGCAAATAGTTTTCTCTCAAAATATATGAATTTCAGGAAAGACTAAATGGAGGATTATAACATCAAGAATGAGGTGTTTAAGGAGTGTTTTTTGTTTTTTAAAATGACCAAGGAAGGGTGTTCAAATAGGAGTTTGAGGAATAAATCTGTTGGGAAAAAAATAAAATATTTTTGACAGATTTTAGCTCAGGTGATCGATCTAGGCCTTGTGATCGATCACCATAACTTAAAAAATTAGGGAGAATTACAAACAATAGTTCTTGTGGTCTATCTTACCCATGTGATCGATCACCTAAGGAAATTTTGCGCACAAGAAAATGTCATGTGGTCGATCCAACATCGGGGATCGATCCACAAACGAATAATGCCCAAGCATGAAGGATCCAAACATGTGAGCGAGATGAAGTACGTTTTTGGATTTAATATCCTGTCTTGGGACACAAAAATCAAGCAAGAGGCTCTCCATCACTTCAATATTACTCAAAAAGGATTTTTGAATAAATGAAAGGATATTTTGGGTGTAGAAATGAGTCACACAAATATTTTGTATGTCAAACGATATACACGAAAAATATTTAAAAATATTTTTCTCAACCACAAAAAATTTTACATCTTAAAAAGATATTTTAAGAAATGTTAACACACTTTTTCTAACTAACTCAGAAAATATTTTTGAACAATTAAAAAGGATTTTTTCAACTGACTCCAAAATAACTATAATTTTTATATTAACTATCATAATAATAATTTTTAGTGAAGAATATTTTTGTCTTCCTTACAATATTTCTTAAGACTCAAATAAATTTAAAAGTCCTCAAAAAATCTTCTTCTTCACTTCTGTTAGACACTCCATTAGGCGTTTTGGTCTTCATTAAATCATGTGCTCCTTGTTGAATACTTTAAGTGATTTGGCACTTAAAGTCTTTGTGTTTGTCAATGTAGCACTTTATTCTTGACTTGAATAACTTGTATTTGTCAATTATCAAAATCTGTGAGTCAACAGTTAATAGTACAAAAAGGGTTGAACTCATGCATTCCAACATTAATAAGAACCGCGAACATAATGTTTGATAAATATAGACTAAATATCGAAAATCTCTCAATTATAAAAGACTATTTAGAGAATTTATTATTTTTAAACCACGTTTCATAATATAGAAGTTAATAAATATGAAAAGTGCATGATTGTAGTTTATTTATAAAAAGTCAAAATATAGTTAGATGTTTGTCATAATGTTACAATGCAAACTTCTATTTTTAGAAAATAGAACTTTTCTTGGGTTCCAGCGGGGCCTCCCGGGGGCACGTCTGAGAATGTGGCACATGATGGAACGATTCTACCCAGCTAGCCTGGGGTCTCTCCCAGCCCACAGGAGCTTTCTGCGGATTCTGACATAGTCTCTCACTCACGAGGATTCACCCTCGTGACATCCTTTCAAACATTGTGGCCCTTGGGTTCCCAGTCTCCACATTAAGTGGTTGGCTGGTATTTTGGGGCCCAAATGGTGCCATATTCGTTGTCCAAGGTTGATTGCGATTTCCCCCGTTATTCCAGGCCAACTCCTCCTCTAAACGCCTAGCGATTGCCTCCCTTTCCCTTTCAATCTCTTCGGGGTCACGAAGCTCACATAAAATAGGACATGATTGCCCTCCGACTATTCGTAGAGTCTGACGCAATTGTACAACCGGTTCACGGGAGATCCTAGAAGGATCGGGCAAGGTACGTTCTAGCCGATCCATGACATTTGCCATCATATCAGCAATGTTGTTCAGGACCACTTCTAGCCCATTGGCCTGAACAACGGCATGCATGTTGCTCAGGCACTCTCGCTCTGGCGGAGAATTGCTGCGAGTTGGAAACATTGCGTCTAGAATTCTTAGTTCTTTGTCTAGCCATATTCTCACAATATTTTTCTCATAGTTTAACTCTCAACGAAAGCACCAATGATGTGATTTAGCCCAACGACTATGATGGTACGAAGAACTTGGATGCAAATAAGAATAATATACATTGCATGTATGACTCTCAGATGCTTGCATTAGCTTCGTTTAGCTTGGGTTACAATAGAGGAGAATGTCTCTTATATATAGCCTAACATCATCTAATTTTTGATATGCAATTCATGTGCTATAATATCGAACAATTATTAATTGTGCACCAATCATGCGCGAAGAGTTACTCGTCATTTACACATAATCAATGGGATTCCCACTCCCTGTATCGTGCGATTCAAATTAGCGTTTTGGGTGTTGGCTCACCACTTAATCATGGTGTCCGGCCCACCACGCTCCACATAAGGCGTCTAGCCTTCTTGGTTCTTCTTGGGTCATGGTAACAAAGCTCTTTAGGGCCCACTTGCCCTAGAGGTCAACCCGATATCCATCAGGTTCAGTAGCATTGCTACTGCTCTATAGCCCAGAGTGTGCTGCCTTTGACACTTCCAGAGTTTCAGGGAGGTGAAATTTATTCGAGGAGAACTCGAGAAAACAATCGATGTGAAATTCTATGGATCGATGGCTTCACTGTCACGGTTGGATAGGTTTTGTTCATATCTTGATTCTCTATTTGAGTTCAGGATTAATATCCCAAAACTCTAAGGAAAATCATACATCTTTCTTCATGTAATAAGAAAGTATTGTGTAAGCTGGCATTGTTGTAAAGTTCGAAGGTGACATTTTCTTGTCTCGGGTAGAGATGGTTGCAAAATAATTCCCCAATAGAGAAGAATTTTTGTTTCTTTTGAAAAAATGAAGATGTGGAGGTGTACAATGTACACCAGTGTGTTACCGACACACGAATAATACACTACAAGAAAAACTACTTTTAACTACGAAGTAATAATGACAGTTAGAGAAAACTCTCATTAAAGGTGTTATTCATGGGTAAATTTCACCAATGGTACCTGAACTTTAGCTGGAATTTCGAAGTGGTACCTGAACTTCAAATCCTTTCACAAAAATCCCTGAACTTACACAATCCTTTCACTAATGAGCAATTAGCCCGTTTCTAGGTTAACTTCCGGTCATTAGGGCCAAATTCGAATTTTATATATTTTAAAATTTTCAATTTGACCCCATTTCTTCTTTTCTTTTCTTCCAGGCCCCGCCGCCCGCCGGTCAAAGTCGCCGGAAAATGAACTTTTTCCGATTCCGGCGGGACCAATGTCATTCTCTTTGTCTTGAGACGAGGATCAATAATATCCAAACCATTTTGTCTAATTTTGCCTATAACTTCTCGAATCTGAATTTTTCTACTCGAAAAAACCCTAAAATTCGAAATTGGGTCCAAAATGGGGGTTTTGCAAATAGTCATCAAATCTTGCAATTGAAGAGTCCTTGGAGGTCGCCCGGATGCCACGACCACATTGGACTTGGTGCCCGCCGTCAATTTCGCCGGAGTTGGCCGGAAAACGCTCCGACCCGCCGG